AGTTAAACATTTCGCATTCTAAGAATAATTTGTTTTCTTATTTGATTCTTGAGACTTCCTTTCTTAGATATTTCAAACGTGCATCATTATACACATGAATCAATTATTGTGTAAAGGTTATATTTTTTTCCATCTGTCTGAAGATAAAATAAAACAACAGATATGGCTAATACTCTTCCATCACAACTGAAGATGTCATGTTAGAACTATAGAATAGGATCAGAATTATAATAAAATAAAGAATTTTTTTTTTGTTTTTTACAGTCTAAATGCAACTGTGATTTTTATTTCTGATATGCTGTTTTATAGTATGATAAGCACTACATTTCATATATAGTTTTAAGAGAAAACATTAGCTATTGATAAATGAAAATCATGAAATTGATTTCTTCTAAGAAAATTAATAGTAACAGCTGGTAAAGTTTATTTTTGATTCGAAATTAGTGTCGTATATTGTACGCTTAAGATTATACACATTTCTATCAGTATTGTCGAATATTGATGTACTTTTTCATCATAGGGAGATTAACTCGTTCGAGACTCAATTTTTCATTTCTTATTTCAATATTAGTTCTTATAGGCATTTGAATTATTTTTTGTTGTATTTTTTGCTGGCGTTCTGTTTCAAAACACAATAGTAGAGCTCCTATAAATTGCTTTTTCATCTTAAATATTTTTTTAACAATTTAAAAATATCACAATATATGATCCAACTTATATAATACGTAATTTCTCACATGTTTTGGCAGAAAACATTCACTTTGTACTTCGATTTTCTCTGATGAACTTAAACTACTTCGTATCATTGCCTAAAATCTAATCATACTTTTAATTAAAAAAAGTAAAATATCAAACCGTCAGATTGAAAGTAGCAACTTCTCAATGAATTTGTGAATTCCATTTCTCTTGATTTATTTAATCATATTTACAAGTCACTGTAGAACGCCTTGAATAATTAAGGTACATTTTTATGCTATCTGATCAGATTTAGTATTGTTTAATCGTCATGAAATCTATTACGAACAGCTATTAAGTAGACAAGCTTTCATTATCAATAATACATTTGTTTGATCTGAATATATCAATTTCACGCATATATATGTTACGGTCAAAACTGGAATCTGGTCAAATTCTAAATTTGATCGAGCAAAATTGGAAGTCGAATTTTGACTGGACAAATTTAGAATTCAAATTTTGACCAACTTGTTTTTTGGCAAAATTGGAATTCTAGTTTTATCCGGACGAAATTAGAATTGGACTAAAAATAAAGTGATACACATTTTTGTATTGTTCAAAAACATAGAAAGGAAAAATATTAACAAAGATAGATAACTGTTCTTTTTCAAAGAACACAACAAAAGAAATGAGTAGAATATTCTAGAGTGATCTAATTGTTTTATTCGACTTTTTATATATAGGAGTAGTGCGTATTGTATTATCGTCAAAAAAGACAAATTCAAATACGACAGATATGCATGGGATTGACAAAAAGATTTAATTTAAATGATTGTATTGGAATCCCCATTCATACAGTGATAGAACAAATACTGACCCTAAATATTCACCATGCTTAATTGTTAAAAAAATTGAAAAAAAATAACAACGTTTTATATAAATTAGTTTGTCAATATGGCAAATTAGAAAATACTTTTTCTGTTGAAGATCTAGTCGATTTAAAATCAGCTTGTCCAGAAGAATTAAAACAACTATTCATAGATGAGTTAAAAGATATTATAATAATTGAAGCATGTAAACCTTATATTCGTAGATCGACAAGCGAACGTACATGTGAGTGTAAAGGAAAATGTGCCACTAACCAATGTCCATGTAAAAAAAGTAGGACTTTTTTGCTCAACTAAATTTCATTCTAAATTAGGAGTTTGTAAGAATATGGGTAGATAGATTAGAAAATAGGAAGTGTGACTTGTTTGATAAAAACAAAATTATGGAATAAAATAGCAGTTTGAAATAAAAAATAGTTTTTGAAATAAAATTATGATCAACTACATATTTATGACAATGACATTAAATATGGTAAATAATCCAACATGATATAATGATCAAAAACTATTTATCTTGCACAAACCATGTTTCTCCTTTTTTATGTTGAAGGAAGGATTATGGTAGAATATTCAAGGTGGTAAAAATGAAATAGAAAACTTATTATTATTGGGTACAATGATGATGCTCATTTGATCGATTGAAATATTCATCATCCTGTTATCAATAATAATCTGATGGTCCTCATTGTTGTAGATAATAATTCAGTGCATCTTGTTACTTTATGTTCAAAAAAAAAAATAAATTAAATATGATACAATTCATTCTTTAGATTTGAAAAAGGAATATTCTCATAAAAAAGTCGCTTTCTTGTAAAAAAAATTAATTTTATTTTTTGCACTTGAAAAAATAAACAATAAAAATATTACATTTTTTTTTGGAAACTTGATAAAGAAAACATGTCTAAACTATAGTCATTTTTTCGTATGTAATAAAAGTCAACTAAATGTTATATTATTATTTTACAAGAGACACAAAACGGATACGATTACAAGCTATAAAACTGTTTTTCCTGGAAAAACAGCCAATTTTATTTGATAAATCAAAAGAATGTCGATATAAATATGGCATATGATTTCACATTTTGAAATATTAGAAGGAAAATCATATAATTCATCGAACAGATTCATCAAAACTAATATGTTTAAATTATCGCTTTTTTTAATGAAAAGATCAAATCATTAAACTTTGGATTCGAAAAACATAAAGCCCATATCACGTAACAGGTTTTCTATCGATGGAAATATTGAACTCAAAAAACTATTTCTTTAAAAAAACAGATTATTTTACTCGCTATCTCCTATGTAAAATTTTGCTTAACGATTTAACGAAAAAAGATGTCACCTTTCTGATCATGAAGACACATTAAAATATCTACTTTAATGAAATAACACGAATTACATATATTTTGCTTTAATTTCATTTTAATGAGAAAATATTCTGGAATTTCATTAACGTCAATATTTTAATGCATTTTTTTCTATCAAGAATGTAAAATATTTTTTCATTAAATTATTAAATTTAAAAAACTCTTGCATGGGAATTAAAAAAAGAAGAAAAAACGACGTTACCTGATTGTTTTTTAATTTCAGATTGAAAAACAGACGAACTCAACATTATATGACTAAATCGATAGATTTCACGGGATGAATAGGTGTAAATTACAGATTTTCTTACATAGAAAGAATATAGCAATTCGTTTAGCACTTAGAAAAAAGAATAAACAGAATATCATGCAAATATTTAAATTAAATATTTTCAGGACTTCTATCATTCTTTGGTCTGATATTTTTAATGATGAAAAATTTACATATTGTATTGGCATGCATATATGTTTCTTCTCATTAAATGCTAAAGTGTTTTGTTATTGTTGTAGATATTCATGTAAGCAGAACGTTGTGTAATCAATGTAGCATGTTTTCGTTCACCACTGTTTCTAATAAAACCAACCTGCTCTACCGTTATATGCATTAGATTAATATAGAATCGGAATAGAAAAACTTCACACGTTTTAAATCTGTTTGTTGACTAGCATATACCTGTCGTAGTAATCATATATTGACTTCTACAAACATAAATGAATATGAGTCTACATTAACTTAGAATTGAAACAGAAAAATTTAGTTTGTAATGTCATGTATATGGCACATCCTCACGTTCTAGCGTATTATATCAACATGATCGTTAAATAGAGTAGGTTAGTTGAAAGAAAAATTAGCAGTTATGTACGTACATTTAGTTTTGTATTTTTTTTGCACTAGCATGGATCAATCTTTGATGTACCGTGATCTTGCAGCAATTATATTTGATTTGGAAACGATAAAGTTTTAAATGCATTTGATGCGAATACACAATTATCAACTGTTATAATATCAAATGAATAAGAGCAAGTTGTTAATGATGATAAAAATAATTAACAAGTTGGTCAAAATGTTCCACCATCACTATTAGATAACAATAATAATGTACCACAATTAAATCATCTTGAATTAAATTCAAGAAGCAAAGAAAAACATTCGTTTATATATATATATATATTTTTTTTTTGATTGTTCTGTGTAATTATAAATATCTGTTAATCTTTCTCCTACATGTTGATGGAGTTTGATCTAAGAATTTGGACATTTTAATAAAGAAAAGCTTAGAGTTTACAGATCTCACTGGTTTGTATTTTTTCTGATGTTTTGCAAATCTGACTCTTGATGCAGTATGATCGATAACCAGATAGATTAATCTAAGTTGATTCTTGAAATTTGATGCACTGAGTGTTCCATACATCCATATTATTGTGTCAGAAAAGTGTTAGTGTAACCATATGTATAAATGTTTAAAATAAATTTATAGATTTTTAAGTGAAAAACATTGAAAGTCATTATATCTCACTGTTGATTTCATCGTTTTCTATTCGATTCATATTTGGAATAGCTTTCTTAGCTATAGTTTAGGTAAAATAAGACATTGAGAGAGATAAATGATGTTTTTTAGCTTTGAGAAAATGAATTTTTTTCTGTAATATCGAAATGTAGATAAAATGGTTCTCGACAGTGAATAAAGAGAGACGAAACGTTTCAGTCTAAAAATATAAAAATAAACAAACAAGATAATAACGTTCGTGCAAGATTGAAGAATCAAATTTTAAAATTTTTTTCCAAAAAAATAAGAATAATCTTAGTCTAAATTTATCAGATTAAATCAGACCCAAATATCATACAGATACTAAAACAAAATTACTTTTTTCGTTGCATTGTCTTGTAAAAGAGCAAATTTTAGCTTTATCAACAATATTTAATTGGATTTTCTAAAGAAGTTGATTTTCTTTATTGATATGTGCTATATTGTAGATAATAATTCGAAAAATTTTCATTAAACTAAAGATGAGCACACGGTGCATATTCTGCTCGGTATTGTGTTCGGGTAACTCTTGCTTACAATGCAATCAAATGAATCGTTGTCAAAAATTTGCAAGATTGCATCAGCTTTTGGGACAATGTTCTGAAAGTATTGTTTATTATGATGAAATTGCTTCTGTCGTGGAACGAATTCGACAGGTAAGTCTACTACGGTTCTAATTAAATTATAAAGAAAATGTTATAGATTGAATCAATTATGGCACCAATTCAGTTTCATCCGAATCAAGTTTTCGATGAAACCAAACATATTGTGGATCCAATTGCTAAAAAATATCTTAAGAAAGCGACTAATGATGTACATCATCTTATTCCGGTCAAAGTTGCTGATGACGGAAACTGTTTATACCATTCAATTCTTCTATTAATGAATAATCCAACGGTGACGACGGATGAATTGCGCGGTAAATAGATTTATTTTTCGTTTATATCATTGTACAATCTATTTTAATATAATTTTTAGTTCGAACAATTATCGAACTTATGACAAATGAAGCTTATTATGATAGCATGTATCCACAATTCATCGGATCTGTTGCATTTATTATCAAGGCTATGTGCAAAAAGAATACATTTTCAGAATTGTATGAAATTAGTGCATTATGCAATGTACTTAAATGTAATATACGAAGTATCCATCCAAAAATCGATTTTCGAGAAGATATGGCCATTTTGAATAACGTATTTACGCCTGCTCCACCTGTCATTGCTAACTGTAACATCAAAATTTTGTGGTCTCATGTCTTGAACGAAACAGCTGCACGAGCTGCAAATAATGGCGCATGGAGTCCCAATCATTTTGTTCCTCTTCTATCATCAGCAATGCATTACACATCTGAATATGAAAATAAATCACCAACGTTTCCTGTAAGTTGTTTATTCATAACTGCTTCTCTGGAAATTTTTGAAATTTATTTAGACTCCTGAAAAGAAAACGTTTAAGAATAATACTCCTACTCGAATACGAAGTCCTGAATTTGAATGTTCTCCTAGCAGCCGTCGACGTATCGATAACATGGGAATGTACTCCACTCAATCAATCAGTTCAAGTGTACTACAACAAAGTCAAAGTGACATAGAAGAGCAACGTCGAGTGCGGCTTGATGCACAAAAAGAACGAGCTCGATCTAGCCGAATGAACGAAATAGCTGAACATCGTCAACTTCGCCTTGAAAAGCAAAAAACACGAAATCAATCGAATGAAACAATAGAACAACGTCAAATTCGACTTGAAAAACAAAAAACACGAACTCAATTGAATCGTTCAAATGAAACAGAACAACAACATCAAATTCGACTTGAGAAGCAAAGGAAACGAAGCGAAGCAAGCAGAGTGAAGAAGAAATTTGAAACCGCACATTTGATAACATTGATATTCATCGACAAAATATCGAAATACAATTTAGCGAAGCGGAAGAAGAAGCATCATTGGATAATAGCAGCACAAATGAAAACATCATAAAGAAAACGAACGACTCAAATTATTCCTGTTGGCCTGAACCGATTCCTCGTGAATTAAAAGAGGCCCGATTGCAAAAGTTTCTTCAACAGATGTCTATGTCAGTACTAGCTGATGTTACTTGTACAATTTGCAACGTTCGTACTCCAATACAACAGTCAAAAAAAGTGCCACTCTCAAAAACTCCTAATATTCATTTACTTAAAGTTTCTGATGAACTCAAAAATTTAATTACTAATGGTCCACCATCGTTATCACAACATTTAGACGGTAACAGCACAGCAATTCTTCAAAATATTCAAAGTAACATATGATTACTATGATTTGAGACATTATATAGAATCTTTGTCTATTCTAGTTCCTTCAACTTTCGATTCTTCATCATTTCATTATGATAATAGTGTTATCTTATATACCAATGGATTATTTCAACAAAACAAGGTGAACATGTGCATACTTTGCCAAAAATGTCACATTTCTCTGTCGAATGGACAAATTCCTTAATTCTCAGCTGCCAACAATATGTGGTTAGGTGACGTACCTTCTGAATTACAAGGATTGACAATTCCAGAAAAAAAATTGATATCACTCTATCGTCACAACAGCTGTATAATAAAACTTCATTCGCCTTTCCATTCAACTACAACTGCCCAGACAGCATTGAAAGGCAACTGTATTACTTTTCTTCAAAATGTACCAAATATTGTTAATAGTTTACCACTTACACTTAACGAGCTGTGTGATACACTTAAAGTAATTTTCGTCGGAGCTCATCCTCCTGAACGCATTCAACTTAAAAAAGTGCTTACAGTACGCAAAAAGAAAATTATCGAAGCATTACATTGGCTGAAGAAACACAACGTACTTTATCAAAATGTTGATATAAATCTGAAGAATATTGCTCAATTACCTGAAGACGATGTACCAGAATGTATTATGTCAACGATGGAACAGAAGATAGGCGATGAAGAAATTCAATCTGAAAGAATTGGATATATTCCTGATCCATTATCTGACCCAATAGAACGTACTAGTACAGATAGTATTCCTATTACTAACAGGTGAGAGTAGCTAATAAATTAGTTGTTTCACAAATCTTTTCTTTTTTAGTGGTGTTCTCGATGTCAATGGCTCATCAGTGTCTTCAGATGAAATTACTAATTATCTTTTGCACAAAATTAAAAATGACGGAACAGAGGAACAGATGGACACCGAAAATGTTTATTTGATTCCTCATTCTTCGAAGCCTGTTAACGAGTATTTTAATCCAAAACTACTCGTAGGTCTGTATCCAACCTTATTCTGTTATGGACGTGGCGCACCTGAAGATCAATCGCGTCCAGTTAAAGTAAATTTACGAGAACACATACGTTATCTGTTATCGTACAATGATCGACGTTTTGAAACGAACCACGGTTTTATATTTGTCGTCTTCAATCTATTACAACGACATGATGCTTGTTTTCATGCTCAGCTGATCGCAACAAAACCTTACTTTCGAGCATCTGCTGATGAAATTCAATCCTTGAAAAGTAAAGATATTGAAATGGCGCTCGATAACATTTCCAAAAAAACATACAGTTCAGAATCCAACAGTGCATTAAATAAATTATTGCATCATATTAAAACCATCGGTGGTCGAGTTATGGGTTCAGCATATTCACGTACGGCATTACGTACGCGTATTCATGCATTAATCTATAATCAAGGATTACCAAGCATTTTTTTAATTTTAAATCCAGCTGATATTCACAGTCCCGTGGCATTATATTTTGCGGGAGTCAAGTTGGATTTAGATAATATTCAATTAGCGCAACTGATGACTACTTACAAAAGAGCCGAAATTATAGCTTCTCATCCTGTTGCTACCGCAAAATTTTTTCATTTATTAATTTCAAATATCTTAAATACTATGCTTAGTGGTGGTGTTCTTGGACCAATAAAAGCTTATTTTGGTACTGTTGAAAGTCAAGGACGAGGTTCGCTTCATTTGCATCTTCTTATTTGGCTTGACCATGAAATGAAACCAGCTGATATGAAAGAGAAGATTCAAAATGCTGATTTTCGTGAAAAGTTAAAGGCATATTTAGAAGATATTATCAAAGAAGATTTGGATGAATTCAAAGATAAACATGTCTTTGAGAATTTAGACGGTATGGAACGTTTTGCTTTTATTCGAATATTGATTTCTAATTTTATATTGTAGTGACAAGATCATTCGTTACTCCTCCACGATTATCACAAGATAATATCAATGCGGCTTTACGTACTATTGATTTAACAAGTTTAGCCGAAAATATAAATAAATCTTCTGTTTGGTCGACACCAATCAAGCAACAACTTTCTCCATCAATTCCTTATGCTTC